ATAATCAAAACAAAACTATATACAAAATAAACTTAAAATTAAAATTTTAAGAAAAACAATAAAAAAACAAAGGGGAGCCACATGCTCCCCTTTGTAAATGATATTGCTTCTCTTCCAAACAAAATTCCTTGCCCATCAATGTGGGCAAGTATTGAGAAGTCAAAATACTTTTATTTAAGAAGTCTTAGCTTAATGGCTTATTATTTTAGTTTTTTTTTTTTTTTTTTTTTTCAGAAAACATTTTTCTTTTTAATGTTTAGCTGCACAGTAGAAAAGGTTGAAAAGAAAGTTTATATTATTAACATTATGTAATAATGTAATAATAGCATAAAATTACATTACAATAATAATAATAATAATAATAATAATAATAATAATAATAATAATAATAATAATAATCAAAACAAAATTATACACAAAATAAAATTAAATTTTTTTTAAAAAAAAAAAAAAAAGACAAAGGGGAGCCACGGGCTCTGCTTTGTAAATGATGTGGGATCATTTTGATCCCACATAAAAAATGTTTGGAAAGAGGACCTCTTGAGCTCCTCTATATAAGAGGAGCAATGCTCCTCTTCCAAATTAACATAATTGTTTGCCTATCAATGTGGGCAAGTATTGAGAAGTCAAAAGACTCTTATTTAAGAAGTTTTAGTTTAATGGCTTCTTATTTTAATTTTTTTTTTTAAATTATTTATTATCGGTGTTTGGGAAATATTAACCCAAAATGTATATGTGTTGTTTTAGTTTTTAGCAATTTGCGACAAATTGCCGAGTTATTAAATAATATTTTTGGTGTTTTAATTTAAAAAAATGTTAAAATGACGAATTTGTCAATAATCAAACAATGTTTTTATCTAATAATTTTCGTTTGGAAAGTAGGAAAATCATTTCTGGAAAATGAGTTATTATTCAAAAAACATTTTTCTTTTTAATGTTTGGCTGCACATTAGAAAATTGTCTAAAAGAAAATTTATTATTATTATTATTATTATTATTATTATTATTATTATTATTATTATTATTATTATTATTATTATTATTATTATTATTATTATTATTATGTAATAATGTAATAATAAAATAAAATTATAATAAAAATAATATTAATAATATAAGAATTAATCACAACTCCGTGTGACAATCTCCTTCCTACACTCCCGTAGGGATCACGCTTGTCTGTAGAAAAACAAGCTTCTCTTGCTTCCAACTTTGAGATTTCTTGGATAGATTCTTTAATAAGCAGCAAGTCTCTCTTTGATGAAGATTTTAGCACTCTTCGATATTTCTTTGTAAGCTCTGAGAACTTGTGTATTTTCTCTTGTATTTCGTATGTATCACTAGATGGAAGTTCGTATATTTCTTGCTTGGAAGTCTGTCTTCACATCTTCAAATCTTCATCCTTTTATAGCCATTTTGAGAATTTGTCCGTTGGAAAAAGACAATCTCAAATTTGAATTCTTGTCAGCGAATTTGTAGCCTTTTCAGAAAATCTTATCACATCTTTAATGTGTCGACAATTTTGTCGTTGCTTTGAGCTCCACACAAATAAGCTCCTCAAATAATTTTGATGTAGATCATGCCTTCTGGGATTTTTATCCTTCAAATCGGTGGACTAGTCAATTTCCTTTTTTATATCATTTTTATCCTTCAAATCGGTGGACTAGTCAATTTCCTTTTATATCTTGAGCTCAAACTTCTTCTCAATCCCGACTTGAGATTTATCTCAGAATTAATTCCTTCAGCCAATGGGATTTCTTGATTTAATTTAAACTTCATCTCCAATTAAATCCCAAGAATTACGGTTCCTTCTGCCAATGGGATTTCTTGATTTAATTTGAACTTCATCTCCAATTAAATCCCAAGAATTACGGTGGACTAGTCAATTTCCTTTTATACCGGTGATGAAATCTCAGCCCTTGATGCTTGAAATCTCATCTCAAATCCCAAGAATTATGGTGGAATTTCAGCCCTTGATGCTTGAAATCTCATCTCCAATCCCAAGAATTACGGTGGAATCTCAGCCCTTGATACTTGAAATCTCATCTCAAATCCCAAGAATTACGGTGGACTAGTCAATTTCCTTTTATACTGGAGCCCTTGATGCTTGAAATCTCGTCTGATTGAAACTTCTGTTCATTCCATATTTAGTCTTGAAACTTCATATTTAGTCTTGAAACTTCATCACATACTATATGTGTCTTAGACTTTTCATCCCGTACTATATTTGTCACTTCACCTCATACTTCAGCTCCCCTGACTGTTGACTTGCTTCTGCTCATTGTAAACTTCATCCCATACTATATTTGTCTTAGACTTCACCTCCCTTGACTGTTGACTTGCATTTGTCTTAGACTTTTCATCCACCTCCCTTGACTGTTAACTTGCACTTCACCTCCCTTGACTGTTGACTTGCTTATGCTCATTGTAAACTTCAGCTCCTTTTCATTTGACTACTGTTGACTTGCACTTCACCTCAGACTTGCATTTGTCTTAGACTTTTCATCCACCTCCCTTGACTGTTGACTTGCACTTCACCTCATACTTCAGCTCCCTTGACTGTTGACTTGCTTATGCTCATTGTAAACTTCAGCTCCTTTTCATTTGACTACTGTTGACTTGCACTTCACCTCATACTTCAGCTCCTTTTCATCCACCTCCCTTGACTGTTCTTGACCCACCTCCCTTGACTGTTCTTGACCCTTGAATGTCATACTTCAGCTCCTTTTCATCCACCTCCCTTGACTGTTCTTGACCCACCCCCCTTGACGGTTCTTGACCCTTGAATGTCATACTTCAGCTCCTTTTTCATCCACCTCCCTTGACTGTTCTTGACCCTTGAATGTCATACTTCAGTTCCTTTTCATCCACCTCCCTTGACTATTCTTGACCCACCTCCCTTGATTGTTCTTGACCCTTGAATGTTGACACCTCCCTTAACTGTCCCTTGACTGTTCTTGACCCACCTCCCTTGACTGTTCTTGACCCTTGAATGTTGACACCTCCCTTGACTGTCCCTGACCCTTGACTGTTGACACCTGGCTTGACTATTCTTGACCCACCTCCCTTGACTGTTCTTAACCCTGACCCTTGAATGTTAACACCTCCCTTGACTATCCCTTGACTGTTCTTGACCCTTGAATGTTGACACCTCCCTTGACCCTTGAATGTTGACACCTCCCTTGACTGTCCCTGACCCTTGACTATTGACACCTGCCTTGACCCTTGAATGTTGACACCTCCCTTGACTGTTGACACCTGGCTTGACTATTCTTGACCCACCTCCCTTGACTGTTCTTGACCCTGACCCTTGAATGTTAAAACCTCCCTTGACTATTCTTGACCCACCTCCCTTGACTGTTCTTGACCCTTGAATGTTGACACCTCCCTTGACTGTCCCTGACCCTTGACCGTTGACACCTCTATTGTCTTGACTGTTATTGACCCTTGACTGTCCCTGACCCTTGACTGTTGATACCTCCCTTGTCTTGACTGTTCTTGACCCTGAACTGATTTGGCCTTTTGAAGTTTATCTTATAAAATAATTGTAGAGAGTGAGTTTCGGACCTAAAACCTTAAAGTTTAAATAATAAACTTCCAACCAATTCATCTGTACGAATTATTTGTTAATGTTGCATTCTTCTTGATGTACTTCTTTCCTTCCATAATTGCTTGAACTTCAAGACATCTTCATGCAATCTTGTTTGTCTTTTTTCGAATTTCTCCAAAATTTTTCCATTGCCATTTCTACTTTAGGTAGGGCGTGTAGGTAGGCATTTTCAAGTATACATATCATATGCATATATCTTTTTCTTATTTTCCCTTTTCGTTAATTTCCTTTGTTAATTTTCCTTTCATGGTCTATGACAATCTAGTCTTAGACAAAATAAAATTGGGGATTCTGAAATAAAATTTGGCAAATCAAAATCTATTACAACAGGTTACTGAACCAACTGCTGCCGCTCCGTGGAGGACCGCGCCTGTTCCTATTTTTTTGCATGCTCCTGGCAGTGTGCGTGAGGTGCCTGTTGTCCAGTGTGAAGCTCCTATTGCCGCTCCATCATTCGCTCCCAATGAGCGCACGGTGACTGAGCCTTTGCAGCCATCTCGGTCTGGTCGTGGGCGCCGCACTTCCAAGTTGCCTCAGCTCCAGTCTCACACGATGGCCACACGCAGCATGGGTCCTACTAAGCATGTTGCGCTGGTGGCTGCCGCAAGTATACCCGAACCCACTTGTTACACCGAAGCCGTGTAGTATCCTGAGTGGCGTGAAACCATGAACCTGGAGTTTAATGCGTTACTTCAAAACAATACGTCGCGGTTGGTTCCTTGCATTCCAGGTATGAATGTTGTGGGGTGTAAGTAGGTGTTATGGACCAAACGGAATGCTGATGTTTCGGTTGAACGCCAGGCTCAGCTTGTGGCTAAGGGTTTTAATCAGGTTGCTAGGCAAGATTTCTTCGAGATTTTCAGTCTGGTGGTTAAGCCCACTACGGTTCGGCTTGTTTTTTGTCTTTGGTCGTGTCATGGGGTTGGTTGATTCGGTAGTTGGATATTCACAACGCATTCTTGAATGGTGCTCTAGCTAAGACTGTATATATGCGCCAACCGCCTGGGTATGAGGAAAAGGCATTGTCCGGATCATGTGTGCTTACTTCAGCGGTCGCTTTATGGTCTTAAGCAAGCTCCTAGTGCATGGTTCACCCGTTTACACAATTTCTTGGTTTCGGTTGGTTTTACTCCCTCTAAAACTGATGTCTCTTTATTTATCTATTCTTATGATGGTGTTCAACTTTATCTTTTGGCATATGTGGATGACATTTTAGTCATGGGGTCTGACTCGACTCGTGTAGCTGGTCATGTGGCTAAAATGACGTTGGAGTTTAAGGTTCACGATATATGAGCTCTTTATTTTCGTGGCATCGATACTGTTCTGTAGTCTAGTGGAATGCTTCTTTCTCAACAGCGATACATGAATGATATTCTTAAGCCGAGCTAGTATGGTTGACTGTAAGCCTATTTCTACTCTGGTTTCCCTTGCCAGGTCTGATAATTCTACTCTGGTTCCATATGCTGATCCCACCCAGTATCGCAGTTTGACTGGTGCTCTTCAGTATCTTACGATAACTTGTCCTGACTTATCTTTTGCTGTTAATAAGTTATGCCAGCATATGCATGTGCCAACCACGGCTGATTCAAGCATGTTGAAGCGTGTTTTGCGTTATGTGAAAGGCACTGTTGGTTTTGGTCTGCATATTATGAAGTCTGTGTTTGCTGATATTCATGCTTTTCGGATTCGGATTGGGCTGGCAATCCGTATGACCGCAAGCCTACTAGCGGTTTTGCGGTGTACCTGGGTAATAATTTGATTTTGTGGACGTGTCGGAAGCAACGTGGTTTCTATGTCATGGCTGACATGAAAACTTTAATTGAGAATATGCTAAACAAAGATGATAAAGATTCTGTTCAAGCATTGGTAAGATAATTTTTATCATTTTGTCTCCATCGAAGTAAATTTTATTCCTTCATTATTTATAGCTAGTTTTTACTTGTCAAGTGGTTAACGAGAAGAGTTACTGTTATATAATGTTATGTATATGTGTATCTCACTATCTGGCTATCTCATGTTCACCCATGAACATATTATGTGCAATGTGGACTTTATTATTATTATTATTATTATTATTATTATTATTATTATTATTATTATTATTATTATTATTATTATTATTATTATTATTATTATTATTAATCCAAATAATTTTATAAAATTAATCGTATTTGTGGTTATGTTGAGTACGTACTAATATATTTACTATTTTTTACATGTAGTTCCAACATGTTGATTACGACAAAACGGTTATTGATTTGGTGCGTTCTGAATGGGAAGATGTTATATCAAGTTATATAGAGTAGGCATGGTTTTGATGATTAGAACTTTGTGAACACTTAGACTTGGTTCGCTTGGAATTGTTTTTTGAAGTATTATGGGATGGTGATTGGAATTGGTCATTGAAGTATTTAGACTTGGTAATTAGTTCTTTTGTATTTTGAACCTTAGCTTGTGTGCAAAGTTGTATAACTACACTTGGTGATTGTGATTGGATAAATTGTTTTTTTATATGATTATGTTTAAAACCTAAGCAGGTTAAAAACAACGATTTAAAATTGTTGTCTTTCATATATAAGACAACAATTAAAAATCATTGTCTATTCTTCAAATTATCGAGAATACAGCAGGTTTCGACAACACACAATAGACAACGGTTAAAAACTGTTGTCTTTTAAACAAAAAACAACAGTTTAAAACTGTTGTCTATGGGCGTGAATTTTAACAACAGTGGTTTCAACAACACTCAATACACAACGGTTTTTAACTGTTGTTTTTTCTAGAAAAGACAACGGTTAAAAGCAATTGTCTATGTGCATGACTTTTAACAACATCGGTTTCAACAACACTCAATAGACAACAGTTTAAAAATCGTTGTCTTTTCTAGAAAAGACAACGGTTAAAAACCGTTGTCTATGTGCATGACTTTTAACAACACCGGTTTCAACAACACTCAAAAGACAACGGTTATAGACAACGGTTCAAAAACCGTTGTCTTTTCTAGAAAAGACAACAGTTAAAAACCATTGTCTATATGCATGACTTTTAACAACACCGGTTTCGACAACACTTGATAGACAATGGTTCAAAAACCGTTGTCTTTTCTAGTAAAGACAACAGTTAAAAACCGTTGTCTATATGCGTGACTTTTAACAACACCGATTTCAACAACACTTGATAGACAATGGTTAAAAAACCATTGTTGTTTCTAGAAAAGACAACGGTTAAAAATCGTTGTCTATGCGCGGGACTTACAATAACACTGGCTTCAACAACAGAAATTTTACCCCTACGACAACGGTGAAAAACCGTTCTATGTGTATTTTTCTTGTAGTGTACGGTGACTTGGTCTTCTACTAAGGCTGGGTACAAGGCAATGGTTGATGTGTCTGCAGAGGTGACTTCGCTGGTTTCGCTGCTGAGGGAAATTGGTTTGCCTCCAACGTCTACGCCCAAGTTATGGTGTGATAACTTGGGTTCCACTTATCTGTGCGACAATCCTGTGTTTCATGCGAGGACGAAACGTGTACCACTTTGTTCGTGACAAGGTGTCCAAGAAGAAGCTGCAGGTTCATTTTATCTCCACTAAGAATTAGTTGGCTAATATATTCACCAAGGCGTTGTCTTCTGTGCGGTTTGGTTTCCTAAGGAGCAAGCGCAATGTTGCTAACAACCCGGTGCTTGAGGGGGAGTGTTAGGATTATTATATTTGTACTCTACTAAGACACGTCAGATATTCTAAGCCTCATCGTTAATAAATAGTGAAGGACCTTTATTTGATCCCTTGTATCTCTATTTAGTGAATATAATTGTCTAGTTTTGGGAACAACTTAACCATGCATGACTAAAAGATTAGTGAAATGTTAGGTACATTGTACCTTTTTTTTTTATTTTTTTTATTTTTTATTTTTTTATGAATACTACTGACTTTGTTACAATGTAATATCTGTTCATATCTACTATTTCAGCCTGCCCCACTAGAGATCGAACCCATGAACTCCCATTTGAAAGAGTCACTTCATGCCACTAGACTACAAGGTCATTTAAAAATTAAAATGCATGCATGTTTTTAGAGGCAACCCCAACCAAATTCGACTTCTAGTGGGAGCGGCCTATTAGCCTTCTTTGTTTGGTCCTTCGCGGGTTATGGTCGCAATTCGGTTCTTGGTTTGAGCACGTCAGCTATGGGCAATCCAGACTGGTTTATCTCATTGTGATCCTTTGTTGACTAGGATCACAAGGCAGGGTCTAATCATCGGACACCCTCGGGTAGTCGGGTAATTGTTGTGGGTTTCTAGTCAAAAAACATAATCAAGTAGCTATAATCTCTTGTCTACTTCATGGTTAAATGCATGGCAGGGGCACAGACTCAGGAAAAAAACATCAAATTTCAGATTGTCTGAACATGCAACTATTAGATTCACATGGATAGTTCAAATGTTCTTGTAATTTTGCATTTCCTCGTTTTACGAAAATTATCAGAAATAGTTTGCTGACTTAGAATACTGATAGATTCAGTTAAGCACCTACTTAGTAATGATAGATCATGGTGCGAACATCAGAGAAAAATAAACAAACACACAGAACAAACTCTCACAATGTTTACCCAGTTCGATACAGTGTGTATCTACGTCTGGGGGACGATCACATAGGCGTCCAATCCACTAAGTCATAATCCAATGTACAAAGGTAGATATACAATAATCTTACCCAAGTGCCCCACACAAGGTACATACCCAGTCTACACAGGTTTAGTGGATTGTTGAAGATGGAGAGCCAGCTCTGATGCAGTCCACTTCAGTGACGCTCTATAATGTTGTTCCCACAACAGTGTGATCTTAGTGTCATTTCGTTTAAGTAGCAGTAACTCTTCTCAAGTTCATCATCTTAATCACCATGAACAAGTTGTATTGAGAAGGTGCATAACAATCAAAGATCTAGACTCTTAAAGCTGATATGGAGTGTTTCTTCTTCTTATTTGGCGTAACCCCAGTTACCTTTTGGAACTGGTACTTATAGATCCTTCTATAAACACTCTCCATAAAAGATCTTTGATTGTAGAAGGTAGGATAATAAAAGAGGAATGTAATCTCAGCAGATTAGGTCCATTACCTTCTTTGAAGATACGCTGATCGTCTTTCCATACTGAGCTGATAATACCGCGTAAGACTCTTAAGGAAACAGCTTCCCTAAATCAGATCTTCAGTGTCAGTTCTTCTGTCGTTGCTTCTGCTTGATCAGTAAACTGTAGACCCAACCGACAGACTCTAAACCTATCTTAGTATGCCATAATAATATTGCCAATTATAATATGGGGTTTTTGAACATAAAAACACTAACAAACTCCCCCTTTGGCTATTATTTGGCAAAACAACTCAACTATTTAAAAAGAACTAAGAAAGGTTATTAAAGGAAGCAACCCAAGTGTCCAAAAAGATTACATAGGATAAAATGAACATAAGATCCAAAGTAGTCTAAAAACAAAAAAAAACAAACAATATCAAAACAGTCACGCCCAGCCAGGGCCAGAAGGTACTCGATCACAAAAAAAACTCCCCCTGAGTTTACTACTCCCCCTTTTTGCCAATGGTAGCCAAAGATTAAGCATTTGAGGGAGAGCCACAGTCAGACTTCACAGGATCCTCAGCAGCAGCAGCAGTATCAGACAAGCTCATGCGGAGAAGAACAATAGCTAGCTCAGTGCGCGCACCAGCCATAGTATTTATTTATTACATCTGGCCCAAAATCATACCACTTCCCTCTGATGAAGATTTGCATCGGTCGTGGCCCTGTGAGACTGTCAATCTCATCACTGAGATTGCAATAGAACTCATATGTGAGCAGCTTGGAGTAAGGGCAAACATCTGTAACAGTTTTCAAAAGACCAACTTCATTCAGCAAGGGCAGAATATCACAAACGGAGTTCAGTTGATTCTCATCCATAGTTCTTTGAACAATCAGCTCCCTTCTGACCATAGTGGCCCATTTTGTTTGTGCAGCAGGTGATACAAACTGAGGTTTGTAAACAGTAGAATCAATTCCTTCAATAGGTGGAACCTCCGGAGTTACACTTCGACCTCTTGACCTTGTAGTAGGTTTCCCTTTTCTGGCAGAGGGGGCTGGTGCAGAAGTAGCTTGAGCAGCAGTAGTTCCTTGTTGCTTAACAGAGGAACATAGAACCTTGAAAACTTGGTGGATAGGTGGGTCTCCTTCAGGCTTAGCAATCTCACTCGACTTTCTCTTTTTCACAGGCTGATCCACATCTACATTATCAGCACTGGTTTCAACAACAACCTTTGTTGGAACATTCTTCCTTTTTGTCCGTCTTGTTTCTCTGGATGGGGACTGAACAGGAGTGACCGAGTGGCTAGACTCAGAAACATTTGCAGATGAGCTCCCAACAATATTTGATATCTCTCGAATTCGGAAATTCGTGGAATCAGGATGAGCAGTTCCCTCAACAGTAGGGGCAGCAGAAGAAGGTGCTTGGGATCCATACACCTCAGCCAGTATCTTATCATCTTCACTGGAGGATTCAGAAGGGTGTATCACTCGATAAGGTTGAGGGATTGAAGCAGATGGTAATCCAGCAAAATGTCGCACATGTTCCAGGCTTTCTCCTAAAGATGTTGCAGTGTAAACAGGAACGCCACCCGTTGTCGAAGAATCTCCTGTCTGTGTGTTGCTTCTCTCTGAGCAGCTTCAAGATACAGAGCTTGGGACTCCTCTCGACGTCGAGGTTCTTCAACAGATTGTAGGGCACGTTGAGCAAAAAATTGAAGGAATGCCCCGGCCCGATTTCCATCGAAGGGTTCTGGAATAAACACTGGAGAGATGTCATCACTGGCTTCGGCGACCAATACAAGAAGTTCAGTTACATCATCTGCCGACCATTCAGCATAAAATTTCGGATAGTTGGTCATAACAGTCACCAGAATCTCGTCGCGAAGCAGAGGATCAAGCTTGAGCTTCTTCTTCATAGCCAACTGTAGAAGCGTCTGAATGTGTTTGAGGGCTGCCGCCGGAGGATGTACCTTGCTTCCAAGCTTAATGATGATGTTTCTTACGGGGTCCGCCATTTAAGATTAAGTGCGAGGAGAAGAATAGAACACCGATAGCAGTTAAGCACGGGAAGTGGAGAGATGGGAGCTGAGGTGATTTCTTTCTTCTTGACCCGGTATCATATAGTCTTAAGGGTGATAAACCCTAATTAATGCGGCAAGTCAAAATATCATGCAGAAGTGATTGATGGACACAACGGTACAGCTCCTTTTTAGGAAGGAAACGGAACCCAAGGGAATTTGAAATTCAAAAAGCATAGAGATCTTTTCAGATATCTTTTGAGAAGACTAAGCTTAGAAGATCTTCTTAACATAAAAAGAGAAGAGTCTTTAAGGAAATTCAAAGTCATAACACTGACCCGTATTAAACCAACTCCTCTCTGACGGACCTACTGCTTTAGTCAGTCAATTCTGCAAATTCCCAGAGCAGATATGAGAATTTCAAAACGATTAGCATCTAGTGGCTTAGTCAGAATGTCCGCCAGTTGTTTGTCAGTCTGAATGTATTCCAACTCAACTTCCTTGGATTCAACCAGGTCTCTGATGTAGTGATGCCTGATGTCAATATGTTTCGTTCTGGAATGTTGAACAGGATTCTTGGAGATGTTAATAGCACTGACATTGTCACAAGAAAGTGTCATTGTTCCTTGTGTAAGACCATAATCCAAAAACATCTGTTTCATCCAAACCAACTGAGTACAGCAACCACCTGCGGCTATGTATTCTGCCTCTGCAGTGCTTAGTGAGATAGAGTTCTGTTTCTTACTTAACCAGGATACTAAGTTCTTCCCAACAAAGAAGCATCCTCCAGAAGTACTTTTCCGATCATCAACATTCCCTGCCCAATCAGCATCACAATATGCAACCAGATTCAGTTCACTATCCTTGGAATACCAGAGTCCATACTGTATCGTTCCTTTCACGTATTTCAGAATGCGTTTTGCTGCTATCAGATGTGATTCCTTTGGGTCAGATTGATACCTTGCACAGATTCCAACACTGAACATTATGTCTGGTCGACTGGCTATTAGATACAACAGACTGCCTATCAAGCTACGATAGACTGTGTTATCCACTGATATACCAGTTTCATCTTTCGATACTTTTGTAGAAGTGGAGATCGGTGTTCTGGATGGTTTACATGATTCCAGATCAAATTTTTTGACAAGATTCTTAGCATACTTTTCTTGTGAAATAAAGTATCCTTCAGAACTTTGCTTGACTTGTAGACCATGGACATTTCAAACTCTTCCTCCATGACTTGTACTAATTCATCAGTGTATTTTTGCAAGGTTAATCCAAACACAATGTCATCAACATAGATTTGAGCGATGGTTACGTGACTTCCTGTCGATTTGACAAACAGTGTTTTGTCAACACTTCCACGTTTATATCCGTGCTGGAGCAAATACTGTGTTAGACGTTCATACCAGGCCCGTGGATCTTGTTTAAGACCATAGAGAGCTTTTCGAAGCTTATAGACATACGAAGGACGTTCTGGATCTTCAAAACCTTTAGGTTGAGCCACATAGATATCTTCATGGAGATACCCATTCAGAAACGCTGTCTTGACATCCATCTGATATAATGTAAATCCCAAAATGCAAGCGACAGCCAGCAAGATTCTAATTGACTCAAGTCTAGCTACAGGAGCAAATGTCTCGTCATAGTCAACCCCTTCAATCTGTGTATAACCTTGAGCCACCAACCGAGCTTTGTTTCTGGCTATATTCCCTGCTTCATCAGTTTTATTTTTAAAGATCCACTTCGTTCCTATTACGTTAACACCATCAGGTCTTGGTACAAGATTCCAGACATGATTCCGCTCAAACTGATGTAGCTCCTCCTGCATTGCATTGATCCACAGATCATCCTGTAGAGCTTCTTTGACATTTTTTGGTTCTATCTTTGAGGTATAGCAGTAAGACCCAGATATTTCTGTCAGATTATTTCTTATTCTGCTTCTGGTTTTCATTCCATCTGACAGATCTCCAATAATGTTATCTGATGGATGGTTTTTCTGAGTTATGGTAGGTTTGTCTTTACCAACATCATTCATGAGATCTATCTCTTGTTCCGAACTTTCTTGATCTTCATCTGATGAATCTTGTGGTTTGAGCTGACTGTTGTTATAACTTGCATCTGAATCACGTAGAGGTGACTCTATCACTGTTGAGTCCACTGGTTCTTCTGGATTGTCATCGACAACCACATTTACTGACTCCATCACAGACTGAGTCCTCTTGTTGTAGACTCTGTATGCACGACTGTTCGGAGAGTATCCAAGAAAGATGCTTTCATCACTTTTGGGTTCAAACTTCCCTCTTTGTTCTCTGTCAGCCAGCACATAGCACTTTGTCCCAAACACATGAAAGTATTTCAGATTTGGCTTCTTTCCCTTCCAGATCTCATATGGAGTTTTCGTCGTCCCTGGTCTAAGGTAGACCCTATTTATAGTATGACATGCTGTGTGTACTGCTTCAGCCCAGAAACGTTGTGGCATATGTGAGGCATGTAGCATAACTCTAGCCATTTCCTGTAGCGTTCGATTCTTTCTTTCCACCACTCCATTCTGTTGAGCAGTTCTAGGAGCTGAGAACTCATGTGAGATACCATGCTCAGAGCAGAAGTCTGAATATAGTGAGTTCTCAAATTCCTTTCCATGATCACTCCTCAATCTCTGAACTTTTATAATAGACTCATCTTTTTCCTTCTGAACTCTTATGCACAGAGTCTTGAAGGCCTTGAAGGCTTCTGTCTTTTCTCTCAGAAAGTAAACCCAACTGTATCGGGAGAAATCGTCTACACACACAAATATATATTTCTTTCCTCCAATGCTTTCAGTCTGTGTTGGCCCCATGAGATCTATATGGACAAGATCTAGACATTTCTCAGTGGTGATACCTCTTATTGCTTTGTGTGGAGTTCTGATTTGTTTCCCAATAGCACATGTGCCACAAATTTTCTCTGGATCAATTCTGATCTTCGGTACACCTTTTACTGCTTCAAGTTTTATCAACTTATCCATATCTCTGAAATTTATGTGACCCAGTCATCTATGCCAGAGTTTTGATTCATCAGATTTGGATAGGTGACAAGCAGTTTCATTTGTCAAAACATAACAGTTGTCTGAAGACCGAGTTCCTTCCATGACAAGTTGATTTGCTTTGTCACTCACTCTGCAGCAGTTACGATCGAAGCATACATTCCAATTTCATCACATAACTGACTAATGCTAATAAGATTCGCTTTTAATCCACTGACTAGCAAGACTTCTTCTAACTGAGGTAAACCTGGAACATTTAGGACCCCTTTCCCAACGATTTTACCCTTTTGTCCATCTCCAAAAGTTACAGCTCCACTACTAGGTTGAACAGCCATCAGACATTTAATGTTTCCTGTCATATGTCTGGAATAACCACTGTCGAAATACCATCTAGCATCAGTTGTAGATGCAGTTAGAACAATGGTGGGATAACAGATAACTTCTGACATTCTGACCCAAACCTGTCTAGTGAATGGTGTAATAGTCTTATTCTGATATTTTTCCTTCCTTTGATCTCTGTAGAAAAAATAGCATTCGGGACGAGTATGACCTTTTGGGTGACAGTAGTGACAAATGGGAGTATAA